TGGCTGGCGCCTTAGTCACTTGAGCCACAGGCGTTGAGCCTTTTCTTCTTTTTTTTTTTAAGACAGAGTCTCACTTTGTCACACTTGGTGGAATGCCATGGGGCTCCAGCTCATAGCAACCTTAAACTCTTGAGCTTAAGCCATTCTCTTATCTCAGCCTCCCAAGTAGCTGGGACTACATGCACCTGCCATATACCTGGCTATTTTTTTAGAGATAGGGTCTCACCCTAGTTAGGCTGGTCTGGAACTCGTGAGCTCAGACAATCCGCCCTCCTTGGCCTCCCAAGTGCTGGGATTATAGGCATGAGCCACCCCACCCAACTTAGAGAACGTTTTCTGTAAAGTGCCGAGTAGTAAATACTTTTGGCTTTGCAAGCCTTTGAAGCACTTCTCAAGTCTGCCATTGTAGCAAAAGCAATTATAGACAACAGGTAAACAGGCCTAGCTCTGTTCCAACAAAATGTACAAAGCAGATAATGGGCCGGATTTGGCCCATGGGCCATAATTTGCCAACCATTATATAAAGAAAAAGGCCATAAATACTTCTTATTGGCAAAGTTAGATATAATTGCCACATACATGAATGTCCCCAATTCCTAGAAGCAGAATCACTTTTGCATCGAATACTGTTGGAATGTTTACAAAACTTTTATAAAGATTAAGCCACCCTAGCTTGGTAGCTGTAGCTCAGCGGCTAGGGTGCCAGCCACATACACTGGGGCTGGTGGGTTCGAACCCAGCCTGGGCATGCCAAACAACAGTGACAACTACAACCAAAAAATAGCCAGGCATTGTGGTGGGCACCTATAGCCTCAGCTACTTGGGAGGCTGAGGCAAAGAGAATTGCCTAAGCTTAAGAGTTTGAGGTTGCTGTGAGCTGTGATATTACTGCACGCTACTGAGGGCGACATAGTGAGACTCTGTCTCCAAAAAAAAAAGAAAAGAAAAGAAAAATTATGCCACCCAAAAAGAAATCTCAATAATTTTCATAGAATGTAGAACAAATGTTAATTAAAAAGTGATAAAAATTAAAGATCAGACCGACAGAGGTAGATTGCACTGGGGGATCTGTGAGGAGCACCAGGAGATAATTTGCATTTTTTTCCACTTTTAGGTATGAAATCATGTACTCTTGCTGGAGAGCTGATCCCTTGGATCGACCTACCTTTTCAGTGTTGAGGCTGCAGCTGGAGAAGCTCTTAGAAAGTTTGCCTGATGTTCAGGACAAAGCAGATATCATTTACGTCAACACACAGTTGCCAGAGAACTATGAGGCCCTGGCTGAGGGCTCTGTGCTTGGTCCCCTGGACATGAACATTGACCCTGACTCCATAATCGCCTCCTGCACTCCCAGCGCTACCATCAGCGTGGTCACAGCAGAAGTTCACGAGAACAGACCTCACGAAGAAAGGTACATCCTAGATGGGGGCAGCGAGGAATGGGTAGACCCGGCTTCTGCCACCTCTGCTACTGTCACAGGCGAAAAGAATGGTGTTTTACCAGAGGACAGACTTGCAAGGAATGGGGTCTCTTGGTCCCTTTCAAGCACCCTGCCCTTGCAAAGCCCATCAGCAGATGAACTTTTGTTTGCCGATGACTCCTCAGAAGGTTCAGAAGTCCTGATGTGAGGAGAGTGAAGAGCAGACATTCCAGAATGAAGTTAGTTCTTCTACGTTAGGAGAAGCCAGTTTTGCCTGATGTTTTTGGTATCTGTTTTCCTTACCAAGTAAACTCCATGGCCCCACAGCACCAGATGAATGTTGTTAAAGAAGTCATCATTAAAGATATATAATATATATTTATTTAAAGAGAAAAAACATATATGTATATGATGGAAAGAGATAAGGATATTGTATTTAATAAAAGATGACTTACTTTACTGATCTGGCAGATCTGAAGACGTAAGTTTCAGCCATTCTTTGACACTAACACGTGTACAGACAGAGTCAAAGATGTTTTGTAAAGTTTTCTTTTTCAGGACAGCTAAATGTAAAAATATTTGTAAAATGAAATGCCATATTTGACTGGGCTCCTGGTCTTCATGTATTTGATAAGAATGATTCGTGTAATATTTAAAGTCGAAAAATTGATTAATTTTCTGCTATGACTTCCTAATAAAATATGAATGAAGAAGGATGTGTTGAACTTGAGAGGGGGAAAGACAGTGGTCACTGGAAGCATCAGTGCCTTAATGATTCATCTTCACTGCAGTTGCTGTGGCCATTCTTAGCATTGTTTTTTAGGGATGAGGGAAAAGCACTCCAGGAGTCCATAGATGAGGGACAAAAAAATATTAAGGGAAAAAAAAACAGTGACCAGGAATTTTTTTTTTTCTTTGAGACAGAGACGTCTTATGTTGCCCTGGGTAGAGTGCTGTGGTGTCACAGCTCACAGCAACCTCAAACTCTTGGGCTTAAGTGATTCTCTTGCTTCAGCCTCCCAAGTAGCTGGGACTACAAGCACCCACCACAACATCTAGCTATTTTTTTTTTTTCCAGCTATTTTTTGATTGTAGTTGTCATTGTTTGGCAGGCGGGGGCAGGGTTCCGACCCGCCACCTCTGGTGTATGTGGCTGGCACCTTAGCCACTTGAGCTACAGGTGCCAAGCCATTTTTATTTTACTTAAACCCGTGGGCAAAGTGAGACAGGAAGAGCTCACTTACTCTGCTAGTAAGTGCAGGAAACCGATGTAATCAGTTGAACTATTGATCACTCTCAGCTCTTGGGGCAGCTGGGCAAGGCCAGGGCCACAGACATCTGTAGGCCTGTCTACTTCCCACTAGTGAGCAGCCTCACCAGACCTCGTATAGCCTTCAAGAAGCAGCATCTACACTGGAGCCAGGAGTTCTACCCACACAGCCTGGGTCCTGGACCCAGCTGCCAGCCCAGCCCCCAATCTCCAAGGTGAGCCTGCTCCTCTGTTCCTGTGAAATGTGCCATACATAACAAGTTCTAAGGGTTTGAAAAGAAATCAGAATTATTATAAGAAATGCCAGCACTTTATTATTTTTTATATATGTATACATATATATATTCTTTCTTTTTTCTTTTTTTTTTT